AAGTTTTTACTATACACATATAGTTAAAAACAATGACACCCCTGGGGCGGGGCCAGTTTTGACCCCAGGGCTTTTATTTGAACAAACTTTGTAGACACTTACTAGAAGATTTTTCATGCTTAATATCAAAACTCTAGCTATTTTGGTTTTTCCAAAGAAGATTTTTAAGTTTTTGCTATACACATATAAGGAAAATCAATGACCCCCAGGGTGAGGCTAATTTTAACCCTAGGGCTTTTATTTGAACAAACTTTGTAGACACTCACTAGAAGATGTTTCATGCTTAATATCTAAACTAGCTATTTGGGTTTTTTCAAAAATGATTTTTTAAGTTTTTGCTATACACATAAAAGGAAAATCAATGACCCCCGGGGCGGGGCCAATTTTGACCACAGGGCTTTTATTTGAACAAACTTGGTAGACACTCACTAGAAGATGTTTCATGCTAAATATCTTAGCTCTTTGAGTTCTTTAAAAGAATTTTTTTAAGTTTTTACTATATGCATATAGGGCCAAAAAAAAAAATTGTTTGTTTAGGGTAACCTTCCCAAAATTGCTAGGTAGGGTAGGTAGGGATTTTTTTTTATTTTTTTTTTTTCAAAATCTGTCGTAAGTTCAGAGTGTTTTCTTGCACATGGCAGTCTTTCCTACACTACTGACATTGCCTTACTTTGTATTATCATATTTTATCATATAAACAATAATTCTGATTAAAATCTGCATAGCTTTAATGCGATTTAATGTTATTTCAATATTGAATAAAGACAATATACCCAAACATGTGTTAATTTTGATGTTTGTTTGCTACAGGCACTACTTAGTTTGACTCTAATCTGAACAGCAAACAGTGCAGATTCTCATCAGCTTGCATGGTTGCAATTCTGCTGATCTGAGTCTACATTGGTTGCATGGTAGGAGCATATGCTCAGGTGAGCTAAAAAGTGCTTAATGAGAATATAAGTTTTCAAAATTTCTGTTCTGAAAATATTTTATATGTAATATGTAAGAAAAAGAATCAAACACCGGCTGTCGGTACAGACTAAAATATCTAGCTCTCGGGTAAATGTTTAGAGCCTTGTTACCGCCGTAAACAGTTACCCTCGAGCTAGACATTCCGGTCTGTATCGGCAGCCAGTGTAAGATTATTATAATCTTAATACAAAAGTACAGTCAGTAACTTCACTTTATCTAGCTCAATACTGACTTTATCTAACTCAATATCTAGTGTTCTTTCTTCATTCAAAACAGAGTTACCCTACCCAGACTAGATATAGACCTACAAAAATATACCAAACTTGACTTCATACAGGGTTTATTAACTCTTAATCAATACAGAGTTACTTCCCTAATTACAGTGTTTCTTCTCTCAACACAGACATACATCATGTACCTTACTTGCTTTACTCCTAAAAGAGTTACTATATGAAATGCACAGTTACTTTACTCCTTTCAGAATAATCAGGGTCAAATCTCTCAATTTGTAACTTCATGATTCAAAGAAGGAACCTCACACAACAAAAATAATTCCCTTTTATGAAGAGTTATTACACTGAAACAGAGTTAACACCAATAAATAGTTTCTTTGTTTTGTTTGGGTTTTACGTCACACCAACACATTATAGGCAATCCAGCTTTACTGATGGAGGAAGACCTTAGGTACCCTTCCATGCATTATTTCAGGCACAAAAGGGCACCAGAGTAGAACCACCAACATTCTGTAAGCTAGCTGGATAGCTTCATCACATGAAAGAATCCAAAGTCCCTGTCAAGATTCAAACCCAACGTGATGAAGGGCAAGTGGTTTGAAGTCAAATAAACAGTTTTACTCAGTACAGAGTACCTTTATTCAATATTGAATAAAATATTTTACTCATTACTTAGTAGTATTACTAACTTACAAATACCCTGCATTATCTGGTACATAAAAGTATTATTCCTAAAATTTTCACATACTAATGAAAAAAAACATTCAAAAAGGGAGAAAACATCATCATAAATTATAAGGGGAGGAAAATCACTTAATAAAAATTTTGTAGAGAAATTCAATAATCTGAAATTTTGCTCAATACAAATTATGATATACATGTACTTCTTTAAATTGCAATTTTAATATATAGGTATCAACTTTCAAATATATCATATTCCATAGAGTTTTGTCTCAATATAGCATGTGCTTTTCAACATGTACAGTAAAATCCCAGCATACTGACTGGGAATTTTACATTTTTTTTTGTCATTTTATAAATGTCAAGAAATCTCAAAAAGAATCCAATAAACCTTTGATAAAAAAGGTGAATTTATATTGTAAAATAAATGTAATAAAATACAAGATCTGCACCCAGTGATGACAGTTATTCATTTATGAAATAGTTTGCAGCTGCTATTAGCAACAGTCATCCCATCCCTTCTTCTATTCCCTCAAAGAAAATCAATTGTAAATGCTAGGAAAAAAATTAGTCTATCCATTTGCAAACAAAGTATGGTGCATGTTTTATACATGTGCTAAAAGGCAAAAAAACTTTCATAGTCAGTGAGACTGTCAGCATATTTATTACAATGTATTCATTTTTTCTATGATTTTGGTGCATAATTAGTACCTCAGGTTAATAAAATTCTTGAAATGAGCTAAAAATGAGACAATTGATTTGAGGCCACAGGTATTTTTATTCTTTTTTTAATAATTACTGAGTGAATATTGAACAGTGCGCCGGCTCATTTTGGTCTGCACTGGTTCATAAAAGCTAACAAAAACAAAAAGAAAGAAATAAAACATAAAGAAAAACTTTCATGACAGACAACTAACAAGACTTTTACTACTTAGTAGTTGTTAATGAAATGTACTTTCAGTGGTCCAGTTTCGGCACTCGGGGTCCTGTTCCGACTCATTCAATGTTGTTTTTCTAGAGAACCGGCTAGAATTTAAATGAGCTGCCAACAGATTATTAGACACATGTTGCATGATAATTATTATGAACAGAAAGTTCAAATGTCAGAAATATTCAATGAAAATGGCATTGGAGAAACCGGAACTGGTCCTGTACCGGAACTGGTTACTTGACTGTAGTTGTAACGAAATGTAATACACTGATTACTGAAACTTAAGCAGATGGTTACCACTAGGTTTTCCCACATTGCTAGAAATAATGTACTGATGTAGGGGCTGAGTAATCATACTGTGCTTTCATTATCATATCAAGTAATTCAACACAAATACAGTATTTTCATACATTCATACATGTAAAATCTGAAATATGTCATAACATTAGTTCCCAGTTCATTTCTAGAATCATGTACATTATGACCTTTCATCGTTGTGTAAATGGACCAATTTGACATTAATCTTTTGTCATCTTTTACAGTTCTTAATTTAAATCATATTATTTGTTTTATATAATTAGTCAAATTATACCTTTAGACCAAAAATGAAAACTAGATTTCATATGTAAAGTTTAGTTTTCAAACAAGCAAATTTGAAAAAAAGTTTTAAATATAACTAAATAATGAAATATAACTTACTATTTCGATAAGATGTCCGAGAGTAGAGTATATCTTGGGTGGCAGGCGACGATATGGGGGTGGGTGGGGCACTTTCCTCGTGGTTATAGGTGGTAACACAGAATGACACGATTCCATTGAGGAACTATTTTATACTCCAGATTGAGGGCTGTGTCGATGTTAACTCCAGCATGTTTATCTACTCTACTGAGATCTTTCTCCTGAAATTCACATCATATATAAGTATACCGCAGTGTGTATGTCAGATATAATACCTAGCCTGGCATGCGATTATCTTCATCATAGACTAGCTTTATACCCACGCATTATCTTCATCATAGACTAGCTTTATACCCACGCTTTCTCCATGTCTAGAAAAAACCACAAGAAAAACCATGCTTTCTACATGCTGTGAGAATAGTTCATGATTATTTTCCTTGACTAAATTTCTCACAAGTAGTTTGTTCCATGCACTCTGCTGAGAAGAACAGTTGTGTTACGTTATTGATTTTCATCAATAGTAACAGTTTCTGGCAGAATGATCATCCCCAATAACATGGTGAATATGAAACATGTCTGCATGTGTCCTCTCTTTAAAGCTGCATGTCTCCAGATGAGCCTAATTTAAAGAAAATCAAACTTTGTAAAATTTCACTAATATTGTAGATTCAAGTAATTATTTATATCTCATGCAATTAATGGCTGATTTTGCAGTACTTATCACCATATTTCTACAGCTTAACTAATGCAGTAAGGGCTTTTTTTTTATTATTTCGAACCCTTTTTGGTAATTTAGGTTGATGTTTGTAAGTGCCATTTGCAATATGTAAATAACTTTCTTTGTTCACTTTGCAATATTTTACTTTTATTTTCATTTTCAAAATTTTCAAGAAAATGAGGATAAATCTGGAGGCGTGCTGCTTTAAATTATATCAATATGCATGAAGATTTTATAGCAAAATATCAGGTATATAGAATTGAAATATTTTGCGTGTTTGTCAGATAAATACTTTGTTGTTCAAACATGATGTTTTGTTTATTCATATTTTATTTTCTATTTACCTATAATGTGAATGTCTGAGCTTCATTGGTGTTGGATGACCTTAGGTGACCCTACCATGAAACATGTCAGACTAGAGTGAACATCCATCAAAATGTTCTTATCAGTTTTATAATTATATAAATACATCCATTTAACTTTAACTCATAAAAAATATCATGCTGGCAATTGAATCATGTGCAGGTCCTTTTCCTTCTCTTTTATATTCTCTGATAAGACAACTATGTTTCTGCCTAGTTGAGAAGTACAAACTTAAAGAGGTTACATTAAATGTATTTAGAATATTTATTAAGAAAAAAGTCACAACAAATACAAATGTTAGGTTTGTATAACTATAAACTATATATATAACAGATAAAACATTAAGAGCAAATGTAGAAAGGGATATGATTGTCAAAAAGTTAGGAATTAAAAAATAATAGCCTCCCTTAAACAATTAGTGCATGAAAAAGGAAGTAAAATTTCTTAAGATTTCCGATTTAAAAAAAATTCAGACAAACAAAAACAGTAATGCAAGGTAAAGATTTCCGTTTAAATTTCAAAGAAGTAACATAATTTCATAGAACTTAAATTTAGTTTTTGAATGTAGCAGGGTTTTATTTATAGAGCACAGTAACTTTCTTTTATAAGTTTTCTGTTCAATACAATATTATTTTAAAAATCACTATGACAAGCAAAGTTAGTTTCTTTTTTGACATATTCATTTTATTTTATTGAATATGAATTCATTCTTGTGAAAGTCAGTTGTCTTGAATGAATCAAGATTTTTCTCCATCAAACAGACTCCACTGAGGTTTTTTGACTAGACTGGAAAATTTCCCCCAGGTTTGGGTATCAATTGATGTAGGTTTGGACCAATAATTTGTGTGCAAATTTTCAGGTTATTTTTCACTTAATATTTCTAAGATTATTTTCAAATTCTTTGGACTTTAGAGCTAATGCAAGTTTCTTCAAGACAAAAAATCAAATATTCTCCAAAATCTGTTCTAAATATTTCAAATAATGGACTTGAAATGAAAATGAAGTGAAATGAAAAACAAGAGCACAGCTAGCTAGGCAGAGCATTATATGCCAGAAAGTGTGTTGTTGATTTTTTTAGTAAGGATGAAGCATTTTAAGACATAAAGATTTAATAAAGTATTACCTCCTTCAAATAGCAATCTTCCTATGAAGTTTAAATAGTGTGGGCCAAATGGAACTTAATTTATGCTTCAGAAAATGTTTTCAGTTTTAAGGTAACAGTGTCCTTGAACTTTGACCTTGTGACCCCTAAATCAATATAGGTGCTCTACCCAATATGGACAATCATCCTATGAAGTTTGAACACTGTGGGCCAAATGGAACTTAAGTTATGTTCTGAAACTGTTTTGAGTTTTAAAGTAATAGTGACCTTGACCTTTGACCTTGTAACCCCAAAATTGATAGGGGTCTTCTACCCAATATGGACAATCATCCTATGAATTTTTAACACTGTGGGCCAAATGGAACGTAATTAATGCTCCGGAAACTGTTTTGAGTTTTAAAGTAATAGTGACCTTGACCTTTGACCTTGTGACCCCAAAATCAATAGGGATTTTCTACCAAATATGGACAATCATCCTATAAAGTTTGAATATTGTGCGCAAAATGGAACTTAATTTATGCTCCGGAAACTGTTTTCAGTTTTAAAGTAATAGTGACCTTGAGCTTAGACCTTGTGACCCCAAAATCGATAGGGGTCTTCTACCCAATATGGACAATCATCCTATGAAGATTGAATATTGTGGGCTAAATGGAACTTAAGTTATGCTCTGGAAACCAAATTGCTAACGGACAGACAGACAGATGGACATACTCGCAACATGGTACTTATGTGACTTTTTCCTTTGATCTTTTTGGCCATTTTTAGTCACACAAGGCTTAAAAAAAGACACACAAGTTGGAATGGAAAAATGAAAGCAGAAAAACAACTAATTATGAAATTGATATGAAGGTAGAACAAGCTATGGCGGTCATTCTTCACCTAGGTGTTATGTATATCAGAAGTTTTTTTTAAATAAGACAAAAATGTCATATTTTTACCGACATTTAACACAATCAATAATAAAGCAATATAAAAAGTTTTTTACTATATATTTAACTTATGCATCAGATATTTATTTGAAAAATGAAAGGATTTGCAAGAAGCACATAAATAGCCATAAAGGCAAACATAAGACTGTTTCTGTATAAGCCATATTAAAGTATGATTTTCAAATATACTGTATCAATTATTTGTTTAAAAAGTATGAAAATGATAGTTTTGAGAAACATAAAATGGAGACATACACGAAAATGTAGTAAATAAACAAATATATAAGATAAAGAAACTTAAATTGAACTTGAACCAGTGTCATAAAAAAAAACATAAATAAAAGGGGACTTACTCTATCTTTATCTAAGATATGACTGACTGGCTTCTTTCCCTTGTATTATTACACAACATGAAATTAGTATGCAACTTGCATCATAGAAATGCATACCTACACGGGTTATTATGAAAATCTTATTCTAACAACTGTTTTTCACTCCCATGACATTGATCTTATAGGATGGTGGGTGTTTACAACTACTAAGAATTTCAGTTATTAAATAGAAATGATAAATCAAACTTTTGTGTGTGTTCCTCACAAAAATTGAACCACAAGTGATACCCACTGACTTGCAGAGCTTACATGATCTTCATATGACAAAAAAGAGGCAAAGTATGAAAACATCAGAACCATATTATGAAAAAAAACAATGATATGCTGGGTGGGGACCACAAAAAAACAGGAAAACCGCCAAACCCGGACAGCCCCGAAAATGCTTAATTTAGTATTTTCTTTATTCAGTGGTTGTCAGTCACTTTTTTATCAACGATAAATGCATGTTTCTTCTAAAATAAAGTAAAAGAATTTATTTCAACATCCGTAAATGGTAATATTTTAATGTCTTTTTCAAGAATGTCGACATTGAAATTTGGGGGTCATGAAAGCAATGCCTCGTATACCAACTATAATCATTTGTAGAGTAAACAATAGGATATCCAAAACTTCAGCATTTGTTGCTGAATTATTGTATATCATCATGTTAAAAATCAAAAATCAAAATACCCAAGCTTTTATCTGGATAAATCAGGTCATGTTCATATCTGTCAAGACAGATTGTACTGTAGTGTAAACAATTAAGGTAATTTTGATACCCGCTATCAGACAGGCCTCAGTTATAAGTGTCAACTAGTTTGTAAGTTAGGAAAAGAACCTAGCTGAACTTTGTCAAATTTTTTGGTCTCTTGAGGTTTAAAATTATGAAATCTGTACGGAAAAATGTGCAAAAAGTGTCTGGTTGATGGTCCCCGACCAGTATATGCATGTAAGTGATACTTGTGTATATGTATAACTTATAAGTTATCTTGAATATAGTTTTGATTAACAACTCGCAATATATATATTTTTTTTATTTCCAGGGTATTTACAAATGGAAACTGTACATAAAGACTTTTCTGCTTTGATGTTACTGTGAATATAAAGCAAAAAAAGTCAACTTTAAATTTTTCAAACAGACTACAAAACTTATTGCAAAGATATTAAAGTCTTTACAGGAAACAAGTCACGTCTTTTTTGTACTAGGCATACGTATTATTATATAACATTTGATAAAAACTTGTTCATCTTATCTCTGTCTGAGATGGGACTAATACTATGCGGGAACTCCAAGGGGCATGGAGACTTCACCAATCTTTCACTTGACAATCGAGATGAATTTACCTCCAAAAAACCTGGTTTTTGTGTTGTGCTTTTAAAAGCAAACAGATGTGACATTGATAGATTGGATGGAGTCTCTAAAATACATCCAGGAAATTCAAATAAATTCAAGAAAGCTCACGACAACACACTATCAGAGCAAATGGTTGGTGACATGGCAGTGAAAATGAAGTCAGTTGGGGCAATCATATCAAGCAGCTCTGTACGAGGGACAGTATTTAGAGTCGGGAGCAAGTACGTGATGACAGCTCTGCATGTTGTGAAGAGTATTACCAGTAAGAAAACTTTTTCCTTCCTTTTCTGTTTTTGTTTTTGTTGGGAACCGCAATGAACAAATGTGACTGTTCATCTTTACCAGTGAAGGATTTTAGACTCTGGTTTCCAACTTTCCCCATAGAATTATTTCAGGAACAAGTGAACATGTCACTGTGACCTAAGTAGAACCACTGATATGGCTTTCTCCCATGAATGAGTCCAAAATCCCTTACAAGATTCAATTTAGCAACCTAAGCCATAGAGAGAATGGTTTTAGCTTGCAAAAATCAAAAAGCCACTTGACATACACATATAGTAAGTAAGTAGGTAAGTAGGTAAGTAACAACTTTATTTAATGAGGCAACACAGTTGGGCAAGCCCAGTCTTCCCTGTGGGCCTCAACAATATACAAAACAATTACATTAAAGTCTTGGTAACGCCAATATACATTACTTAACAAAACAAAATCTTTTTGATATCCACTAATGCTTGGGGGAGGAACTGTTACACCAAGGATGGAGTGCTTATGCAGTGTTTTTTTCCTCTACTTTGGGAATGGTGCCGGTAACAGACTGATTGGGAAAAATGCATTATTTTGACTCAAATTTTTATTTTTTTATTAAACAACTTTTCAGCTACAAATAACAGGACTGGGAATCAAAACTGCGTCGTATCCTACAAAATGTAAACAAACGCCGCTATCTTGGAACGAAAAATGTATGTTTTTCTTTATAACTCTTTTTGTTGGAAATGAGTGAAAACAAGATATATGTATTAACACGCTACACTATTTGCCGCTTCGTTTGGTATATGTTGCTTGCACAAATATCTTTTAAAAACAAAAGTTATAGCGAACTTGCAACTTGAAGCGGAGCAGAATTTTTATGAAATTGTGTGGATATGACGCAGTTCATATTGCTATATCTATCGTTTTTTCCTTCAAATCAATTATATACTCGTTTTCAGAGTTCACCATAAACTTCAAAACATAATTTTGCATCATTTACTAAACTTTCATTAAACATGGTTCATACCAAATTCTCAAATCAAAATTCAAGGACTTTTCAAGGACTTTTCAAGGTAAAATTGTCATTTTCAAGGCATTTTTTTCCCGATTGATCTTATTTAAAATTATACTTTTACAACCATATCTGTGATATACATTTTTATTGCAATTGATCTTATTTAAAATTATACTTTTACAACCATATCTGTGATATAAAACATGTAAATAAAACATGTGTATTTCAATTTAAGGTTCAAATGACTAGAATTGCAAAACAGTGACTATATTTAGAAAATCAGCACAGTCAGTAGAATATATGAACACCAAAACTGTAACATATAGGTGATTGAGTAAAATTCACACAACTCTATCTAGTTTTTCCTTTCTTTTTTGGATTTCTCTTCCAATTTCCTCAACTTCCAGTTTCTTTTCTTTGAAGCCCTTTCTTAGAATGTTTGATTCAGTCACAAATCAATGATTACTAGAAGTGGGTGGGGGTGGTATTGTCATGTCATGCACAGTTTCCGTTGTGGATTGGGATGGCACAATGTTATTATTTGAATCAGATCTACTGCAATTTTCAGTTTTGACATTTATAGTTCCTTCCTGTCTGACAAATGCAAGGCCACACTTCGTCAATGACGACTTGATGTCTAGATTTTTTAGGTGCTTTGCACCCCTCGCATGCGATGTTAATGCACTCTCTCACACCGTATTACCGGCGGCAGTGATGGCAGATCACTGCAGTGATGGCAGATATCTGAAAATTACCGATCGGTACAGGTAGGTTATAAATTTGGTTGGTTTAATTATATTACACAAATACGGCCCATATCATTGCTATAAAACTATTGTCCATTGAATGGAGATACTGTAAGGTATTTTTGGACTCGTTTTTTCCTGTTTTAAGACTATTTTGAGCAGGTTAAAAGTGAAAGCCTTGGAAAAAATCCGTGAAAATGTCTGTTTTCTGTTCAAAATATCTCAAGTTTTAAGTAAATGGCAGGATTTCCTGTTATCAATATAGACGTTCATCCATTGGGGTCACGCAAGCCAAATATCTACCCCGTGAGTCTTTTCTTGAAAGTTTTACAGACGCTCAATCTTGTCCGGTCGAAGAAAAAATGCTGCTGTTGTAGGCAGATACATATTATAAATGCTGCCGTCGATGGCAGAAATACCACGAAAGTGGCTAACATTCTGACAGAAAATCAAGTTCAATCTTTTATCAATTCCTCTTTTCTTTGCGTCCTTTTAGTCAGAATTGAGACGTTAAACTATCATTTCTAATATTTTCTCAAGATAGAAAAGTTATTAATGCGGTGTGTGCATCGAAAAAAGCTTTTTAGCAACATGCAGTTACAATACAAAAAGTGATGATTTAGTACGACAAAATTTCACTATAAATAGAGAAATGAACATGAAAAACTTCATTTTTCTATATTCATGCATGTGTGCTTGATCTGTTCATATGAATTGAAAGGTCAAAAAAGAGAAAAAGAATATAACAAATCAAAAAAATTCTAGTTTTTTTCCTATAAATACAGGATTTATTTTCATCTTGTGATATGAATCATCGAAAGGTTCATCTTTATAAGTTGTCATGGTTACAACTAAAATGATTGAAAAAATATATAGTTAAATGTGAGCACGTGATGTTAGAACTGTTGTTAATAGTTTAGCATAGTAAATGTAATTCAAAGGCAAACTACAACGCTATTACAAACATGAAAATTTAAAGAAATGAATCCACGTTGTCGTGTTTTTCAAGAACTTGATAATACGAGGGTTGTCCCAAAAGTCCGTGACAAATTTTATAGCCGGTTCATTTTTAACGCCAATAGAAAATAATTCAAACATATAACCGTTAAATTTATTATTTAACATTACAACAAATCATTTACAAAAAATTTACCCTAGTTACTTAGAAATTTTCAGTATTAACGACATTGGTCTGAGTTGCCGGCGCACGTCAAATAATTTACATTTTGTTATGAATAGGCTGAAATTTATTACGTATATTTCAAATATCTGATAATGTGTCTGCACAATGTCACGTTGACTACCTCTGCTGCTATGTTTAAATCATCTCTGAAAATTTTAGTTAAATAACTTAAAAAACGAAAAAGACACGAATAAATGAAAATATCTCATATAAAATAGGAAAGTTAAAATGGCGACGTTCGAAGAATTTGCGGCGCAGTGAACATGTCACTCAGGTTTTATGACTATTTCGAGATGACACATTTAACGATTTTCAACAAATATACCAAATATAACAGTTTAGCAACATATTCTGAGCATTTGTGTACAAAAGGCATGAACGGAACCAGAGTTTTGAGCTACAAAAAGCGAAAATAAGGTAAACACGGATAGGAAGACCGATCTTCGTCGCCTATTTCCTACAGCTAAAAACAGGAGTAACGAGACCGGAAGTTCGCGTATAGCAAAAGTTAATGTATGCCATCCAAACATTCAACAGACATTAACAACCACATGATTTAAGTCAGAAATTGACGATTTATGGGTACCATTATTGCGTTGAGAGCTATTGAGAGTATTTAGAAAGGCGCCTTATATAGATTTCACGCCGTTTTTGACGTTGGACGTGCGCCGCGATTCAGTTAGTTGCCATGTTGTTTATGGCATATTTCTGTTGTTTGTTGATATTTATCTATGGACATTTGTGAAAATGTTTAAATTATATGGATTTATAACATATTTAAATATCAAATTCGTACCTGTTTTATTTAGCTTTTAAACAATATTGTCACAGAATATTGGGACAACCCTCGTATAGGAAAATATTTGAACTGTCAATAATATTATCTTTCCATTTTACATTAACATACATTGTTTTATGATACACTGATGCCAGTTGCGAGGTTAATAGTCTCCCCTTTATTACATCAATTTAATAATTTATAATCTGCGCCGATTAAGTAAATTTCAGCCTTTATTTGTCATAAAGCGATGAACATTATTACCTCGAGAAAATAATGTCATATGCTAGCAAATGAATATCCACTTACAGAAGTTACTTGCTGTAATATGCAATTGGCTTTATGTCTTAAAAAGTGAGTGCGCTGCTAAACTTAAGATACATATAGTATTGTATGCATGTAACTGACAGACACAACAGATCAAGCACACATGCATGAATATAGAAAAATGAAGTTTTTCATGTTCATTTCTCTATTTATAGTGAAATTTTGTGGTACTAAATCATAACTTTTTGTATTGTAACTGCATGTTGCTAATAAGCTTTTTTTTCGATGAACATATCGCATTAATGAAAAAAATCAAAAAATCTACAAAACAGCAATTTTTCTTCAAAATTATATGTGAGGCCAATTATATTTTAACATGGAAAACGCGTTTTTGGGTAATTTCGTTTTTTTTCATCATTTTCTGTTAACCCATTACCAGATATATACGCCTTTCTACGCCTTTTTCACCCCCCCCCCCCTCCTTTTTTGCTTTCTCAAATGGTGAAGAAATGCCTTATTTAGGCCCCCAAACACTTGTTTTTGTTTGATAAATGTTGTATAAAACATTGACCACTTTTTCGGCGCGGCCCCCCCACCCCCATCCAGAAGATACATCAAGGGGTTTCCAGAAGGGGGATGTGCCCCCTTCTGTTTGGGGGGTTTGAAGGGGGGCTGAGTCCCCCTCATCGCCAAGAAAACTTTGGACTTGTGGGAGGCTAAAAATGGCCCCAGGTCGATCATAAGGTAACGTGTAACCAATGCTGAAAAGCCTTTGACTCTATCTCAATCCATTGAGAAGTGGCAGCACTTTGAAATCAATTTTGATGGAAAAAAATCAACGCAAAAATAGTGATTTTTGGCAATTTTGAGATGTCCCCTAGTTGCTATGGTAACAGGAAATTTCAGACTGAACATGTTGTTACAAAGGCAATGGTCCAGTCAACATTTGTGCCAAGTTTGATTAGTATTGAAGCAGTTTTTATAGTTTTATAGCAACTTGAACTTGTAACGGGAGACCTTTCAA